TTAATTATCATACCAACCAATTAAATAAGTTTATTCTTTAGAAAAATAAAAAGTACAAATGCAAAACAAGATTAAATTCAGTTATTTAAATCAAAGTTTCTTGTTTGCTGATCTGATTTTTAAATCACTTTTATTAACATCAGTCCATGCAATTTGAGTGTATTTACCCTCTGAATTTAGGCAAGCTCTGGCAGCTCAGTGTATGAAAGCACAAGGTCTTTCATACAACAGCAAAATGCAGTCTAACAAATTAAACCTGCAAATTTTGCAGTTTTATTTTTTTTTAATTCAATCGTGTGTAGCTTTTTATTTTTTGAAACTTAATACTAATAACTAGTAGGTTTTTTGATGATGTATTCTGGTGTTTTTAGTGACTTCAGTACTGCTGAAAAGTATGGGATTGACAGCTCTTGACCACTGAGTTCTCTTATTGATCCACCGTAAAGAAATATCCTTGGCACTGGCATTAAACTTCCCCACAGGGTCCTAATCATTTGCCTCAACCTTAACATGATGTGCTTTCACTACGTCTTGGGGGCAGAGGAGTTCAATATTTATGCCCCTTCAATCCCTGTCCTCTGCTGAAACTGTCAATTAGTGCCGATTGTGATGAGGACACACAATCACTGAATACTGCTCTAAGACCACTAAATTTATCTCTCATTGGGTACCCAAGATTATATAACGACTCTCAGTAGCTACCAGTCTGGGCTAGATTTGAACTGGCAACCCACAAGTGAAAGTCTCTGTATCCCAATGCAAAAAATATATATATTTTTAAAGCAAAAATCTATTCTTTATTGCCTTTTTATATTAATTACAACAGAATTTTTAAGTGCAATCCTAGCGTCCCCTCTCAAATAAAAGGAAGTTCTTCTTCACACAACGCACAGTCAACTTGTGGAACTCCTTGCCTGACAAGGTTGTGAAGGCTAGGACTATAACAGCGTTTAAAAGAGAACTGGATAAAGTCATGGAAGTTAAGTCCATTAATGGCTATTAGCCAGGATGGGTAAGGAATGGTGTCCCTAGCCTCGGTTTGTCAGAGGGTGGAGATGGATGGCAGGAGAGAGATTACTTGATCATTACCTGCTAGGTTCACTCCCTCTGGGGCACCTGGCATTGGTAGACAGGATACTGGGCTAGATGGATCTTTGGTCTGACCCAGTACAGCCGTTCATATGTTCTTATGCTCCCCACTTAGATTGGTAATAGAGAAATTTTGTATATCTTCTGCCATTGTTTTCATTTCACATTATCTACCTAAAATAAAATGCTGATTTTTCTTTCCAAGAAAAACACAGTAATTCAGGTGGATTGCTGTGTATTAATATCTGCTTAATGGATTGACTTTAACTGCAGTTTGTAAACTGGATAAAACATTTTAAAATGATAGGATTCCAGCATGGTTTTCGTGGAAGTGTGGACAATGTTTTCTCTTTTTCTCCTGATAACTATGTCACCAAATCACAATAGACAGTTCCCCTCCACTAAATACACTACGGCATGGTTTTATGACACCAGCAGGCCAAAAATCCTTGTCCACCTTGGTTAAAGAACCCCTCTTCTAATGTTAATTTTTAAACATGGCTATACCTAGCATCATTTTGCCTCCAGTGTAAACAGGACTCCAATTTAATGTACAATCTATTTCATTTGTATCTTGTGGCAAACATAAACCAAGTATCAATTGATGAAGTGGTGAGCAGTGTACATTTAATTTGGTAACCGATATTGGCGGTAATAAAAATGCAATATAGACAAAACATTTACATACCACTATCAGCAGATTCTCGTTTTTCCAGATTCTCGTTTTTCCACAGTCACTGCATGTGTTTATATGCTTAGTGCTTCACAGTATGTAGTGGATAAGAGTTGAGCGGTAATGTACTGGGGCTAGACTTGTTTTATCTGCAATAAATAAATAAATAAATGGGATAAACACTTACAGGTTTTGTTAATAAAGGGCCAGGCCCTGCTTCCACTGAAGTCAGTGGCAAAACTTCCACTCAGGATCAGACTCATAATACAGGTGTGTGCATTTATCACAACTAGGAAAAATACTTAGCATTTATATACTACTTTATATGTGCAAAAACATTGTGCAAACATTAATTTAAAATAATGAATGTAACCAAAATATTGAATGATTCCATTTTTCAAATGTTAGGTTGACTATCTATTACTTTAAAATACTATATCTATCTATATGTTGATTAGAGTAGACTAAATTGCTCACTTGTATTATGTTGAGTCCTGAATCTAAAATGCTTCCCCTAACACAAAGTATAAAGGGGAAGTTTAGACATGTTTTTTGTAAACAATCAAACAAATCCTACCTTGAATTAGTTATTGAATTAAAACTCTACGAATTACAGTAATTCATTCAAGGGACATGAAGAAGCATATTTATGGGTTATAACATATCTGTTGATTTTGAGATGAGTTATAAGGGCCTAATCCAGCAAAATGCTGAGCCATTCCTGGGCAGTGCTGAGTTCCTTCAGCTGAAGTCCATACAAGTTGAGTCCCTTACCATCTTGCAGGATCAGACTTTAAGAGCATGTTTAGGTCAAGAATGTTCATAAGGTTTTGTATTATCTTTTGACAGATGTATATACTCTAAATGTTCATGTTATATTTTCTCAAAAATAAAATGTTAACATCATATAGGAGTGAACTCAAATGCCCATTGTCTTTAAATTTTGATTTTACAGCTCCTACCTGGGTACTTATATGGCCCCACCACCACTCTAATATCACCTCCTTTTTCTATTCAGTTTTCTGTATATGAACCAATGTCTTCCTTGAAACATCACTGACTCCAAGGGCTAGAGACAATTCACTGGTAGTGAAAGTGTGTTTTGCATGCAGTCTCGAAGGCCATCTAGTGACACAACTATGCAGGAAGAAATGTCAGACCCCATGTGAACTGTAATTTAAAAAAAAAATTAAGTAAAAGTGGGGAATGATAAACTCAACAGTTCTGTTGGTGGATTGTTACCCCTTACACAGGTAATATTTCAGAAAGTTTTAGGGGTGAGCCAAATTTCCCAAGGAATTTAGATTTGCATAGTAAATAGGAGAAGAGTTGAGACACTCTTCACTCAAGAGGGAGCAAGTGGTTCATCTATGCTAGGTATAGGACTTAGTCCCTACAGAGAGGTGGGGCCCAATTTTGATCTCAATTACCACATTGTAAATGCAGAGTAACTCCAGTGAAATGCAAGATCAGGGCCATATTTATAATCTTATCCCTTTGGTTTTTATCTTTAAACAGATGCTACTTATGTGTGTACAGTTAAGTCTGTGCATAAACATTTATACAGGGTTTGGTCTATGTAACTGAAATAAACAAAATATTAGAGCTAAATTTGATGACAGTAAGGTTAGTATTTTACCAATAACTTTGAACACAGTTGACGTTTCCTAATTTAAGACTAGGGCAGCTAAGTACCATGGTGATAGATGCATTAGAAATTAATAAAGTTAGCCACATGAATCTCTGGTGAAATACTGATGTAATCTGGAGTTTCATCAAGGATGAACTTGACTCAGTACGTTACCTTCATTGTCCTAACAGCTGTTCTTTTCACCTGTGATACCGCATCACTCGCACCCTGAAAAGGAGTACTGGGTGTGTCAGATATATTTTTGGCTGCTTTTATTTCTGGAGAGTAAAAACCATGTTACTCCTCCAACAAGCGTTTCCTGCAGCTGCCAGAGACTTTAAACAAATAAAATACATGTTTAAAGCCCAAGGAAATGCTCTTGAGAAAAGGTGAAGATGCCAGAACAGTTAGGGGGAGGGCAGGGCTTAGAAACAGTGCAAAGGAGCTCCTGTAAAGGGATGGAAATCTGACAAGGGGCTTCTCAATTCACCAGGGGCTTCTGGGTGTAAGAAGTACCTGTGTACAAGGCTGTCATGCGCTGGAGATTCCTATATAAATGGGGTTGATCTCAGTGCAATGTGAGGGGTCTGCATGAAGGTTTCCAGATAGAAATCCATGGGGGGGGTCTTAATTCACCCTCTTGTGTGTGTAAAGGGGTCTCAGTTCCCTAGGGCCCCTGGGTATAAGGGGGGTTCTCAGTTCCCATAGGGCCCCTGGCTGTAGGGGGGTCTCAATTCCTATAGGGCCCTTGTGTGTGTGGGGGGGGTCAGTCTCAGTTCCCATAGGGCCCTTGTGTGTGTGTGTGTGGAGGTCTCAGTTCCCATAGGGCCCCTGGCTGTAGGGGGG